GTTATGTATACCAAGTACAGTACTGAAGAATATTAGTTTTAATACAAACACAAGAAACGCTCAGAAAAAGATTATTTCCATAATGGGAATTAAGAAGAAAAGACCTTGATCATGACCTGGTTTCAAAGCAGTCACACATTTTCATTTGCCATTAGAAAGGCATTTCTTTCAGTTCCTCAGTAAAGGAAGACCTTCTTGAGACCGAGATCTGATTTTAAATGTCAGTTTTTGTTTAAGGTACTTTTCGGCCACTATGAATTATTTTTTATTGGTGTTATATAATTACGTGTAATAGAATATATTATACCACCATCTTTCATTCTTAAAATGCCTTTCAATTTATTATGAGAATATTATAATCTTTAATATCATAAAAGTACTCATTTAAATAATGACATAAAGTTATTGTAGTAACTCAGTGAATTTTTCTGAAAATATTAAAATATCACCTATGAAATCCACATAATAATTATAGCGGTTTACTTTAAGATCTAGTTTCTTATAATCTTGTGTAAAATGCAGAAACAAGAATATGTTGACAATTTTATTAATAGCAAGTTCTATTATTAGAAAATGTATAACCTTATTCAACAACTGAGTTCTATGTGACTATGCTAATTTTAAGGGTAATAAAAATTTAACAAAGTGGTTAAACCTTCAGATAGATCATGTCCACATCTGTTTATCTGTTTGCCATGACCTGCATAGCTGAACCCTAGAAACTGGCTAGGGGTGATGGGGGATTAGGAAAGTCACACAAACATTTACAAAGAGAAATCTGGGATCAGTTGGGACACTGACCTCTGATGGAGGAGCAGTGACCCAGAGATAGCACAACATGTTTATTATGTAAGTTTTATCATTGAAAAGTTATTTGTGGGAAAATTTCTTCAAATCAGTCAGGCTTGAAGTTTACAGAGCTTGCAAGTTATTGTTGTTATCTTCTTATGCTCAAGATTCTATCAAGATTATGATCAAGATTCTATTGGTGTCTGGGCTCAAGGTCAAGACTATTATTGTATTGTATCTTTACATAGAACTTCCTCAGGTAGGACATTACCATAGCTCCTGGGAAATCTCATTATGCACCTTTGCACAGAAAATTCCCAGGCTAAAGCACAGCCACAGCTCCAAGGCAGTCAAAGACCATGGTTCATCAAGTCACCATTCTCCATAATCTATTTATTTCTTTATCATTCATCTCCTTGGTGCAATGCAGGTACCATGGGAGCAGAGATGAGATCTATGTTATTTGCTGTTGACTTCTAGGACCTACGAGTCAGCACATAGAATAATTCATCAAAAATGGCATTCAGCTGAAGAAATTAATGAATGAGTGAGTTTTATCAGGATTGAAGAACAATGAAAACAAAACCCATCACAAAATCAGGGGTTGCTTGGTTTTTTGATCCTGGCTTTATGTTTTGGTTACAGGATTACCCAAATAGCTTATCTGAGATATGCTGATAGTAAAAACATAACTATTGTACAATTCCCTATTGTATAATAGGGAAAATATTGCAGAATTTGCCCTTGATGAAGCTATGTTAGGTTTGTGAAGATAAGCTTGAAAATCAAGTTAAATGGTACTTATCACAAAATGGAAGTTTTAAAAAACACATAGAAGTTCACTATAAGTATATATGTATACTTTTATTGTGAAGGATATACTATCATGATGATGTTTTCTAGTAAGCTATTTTTCCACAAAAACAGCACTTCAGTTTTAAAGCATATTTAGCATCCTGGTTCTGTCCTAAAATAATAATTTAATATACAATATCCTTTCTAAACAAGTGTTTTTTTTTTAATAAATACTACCATGTTGTAAACTCACCAAGGGAACAAACAAAAATTAAACAACTCAATGAACAGCCTAGCTTGGGGATTCCAAAACCTTAGTGAATGGAATTAAGGCAGTGTCATTTATTTGAGAAGGAAGGCCAGTGCAGCAAAGTGGAGGACACATGGAAACTGAGCCACAAGAAGGAGGGAAGCCATGTGATTTGGTGTGTGACTCTGCTGGTGGCTTCTTCACCAGGAGCTGAGAGGCAGCATGATGGTCAACACATGTGAGCACTTGGCCCCCAGGACTTTTCCAGGAGAGTTCAAGGGGAACCAGATTTATCCTTATCAAAAGAAAAGAGAGAGGAACAGATTTTTCTCAGCTCTCTTCTGTTTTCCATTGGCCAGAGTTTACCTTACCAGTATCATCATCTCTGTTTTTCTGCCCTAAATCATCCAGCCCCCTGAGGACCATTTGTAAACCAAGATCTGATGCTGAGAGTATGGAGATCACTTTCAAGTGCATAAGGGGAGAATAATCTGGATCACACAAGATGCCAACCAAGATATTAAGTATAATTAGGGAATCTGAGAAACCACATAATTTTGTCTTCAAAACAGTTCACCCCTTGTGCCACTCAGTGAGATCGTGCCCTGCAATAGTGTGACTTGTATAGTCACAAGGGGGACATACTGAGGGGGCCCTATGCTTGTTTTAATGCTCTGCTCTTGCATTTTTGTTCTCAGATGCAGGGTACTCCTGTGCTGAAGAGGGGATGGCCTTGCAGCAATTCAGTAGGAGTGTATCTCCTCTTTCCCTGTGAGTGCTTTAGAGGCACACAGTGGCCTTGATCACCACAAATCCCTCCATCAGGTTTGATCTGCTAAATCATCATACTCAATGGGTAGAGCATCTTGGACTGCAGTCTGCACCGCTGGTAGAGTCCTCTCTTGCTCTGGGTCCACTTGAAACCATCAGCCTTTAGGGAAATTCTATAAATGGCCCAGTGCAATGTCCACAAAGGTGGCATATGTTGCTTCTTTTCTTAGTAATAGGAAATAAGGATAGGGCAACAATACGTTTATTTTAGAAAGGATGTTACAACAGGTGGACTGGACCATTGAAAGTCTCAAGATGTCACTGATGTTGGGGTCTCTGAGTCTTCTCAGTTTTATTTATTTTCTTACAAGAATTTTCTTGTCTTAAAGTACTACGGTATTTTCAGTACTTGAGAACCTAAGTAGAAATGTATTTGTGTGTGTGTGTAAAATTATGGTTAACTCCTTTCAATGACTTGCATTTGGTACAGTCAGCATGCAAAACTTGTCACAAATAAAAAATTAAAAGAGACACTTTAACCTTGTTTAAATATACCCCATAAAAATAATAAATATACCCCATACAACATTGATGGGAATGAATGCAGTTGCTGTTTATCTCTCAGGGATGACTTGTCATTTTGCTGTATGGATGAGAAGTTTGAGAATTATCCTTGTTTCTAGTGTCACCTTGATTGAAAAAGATTGTCTTTATCTTTCTAAAAGCTATTTTTCAGGTGGAAAGTGAAACTGTTCCCCATCCAGAACAGTGGGGCCATAGAGAGAACTGCTCAGGGATGAGTGTGGCCCTTGCTGGGACCCAAGTTTTGTCTCTTTTCTGAAAGCCCACAAAGCTCCACTACCAGAACCCCCTTAGGGGCCTGCTTCCTTTTCTCTTTGTCTGTTTTGCAGAGCTCTTCTTTTCTATGTGGAAAGAGATGAATCAGGAGATCTTCCTGCCTCTACACTGATGGTATGTTTGCACTTCTGTTCTTAGGAGTTTTTCCTTAAAAATCTCTCATGCTGGGCTAATGTACGTTCTGTCAGCATGTCTCTTTCTTAAATGTTGGGCATTCATGAATATTTCCATCATATTGGTTTCATTTCTTTGCTCAGTATTGTTTCAGGGGCTTTTGTGTGGGTTCAGCCCTACACACTGGAATATCCTGTCTTCCTCTGCCATCTTTAAGGTTTATGATACATTTTTCTGCTGATTTTGGAAGTCATTGATGGTCCTTTGTTTACTCTTTAATTTTATTGAACAATTTTCTCATGCTGCCTATTCCCCACCTCTTTCAGGCAGCATATCATCCTCCATCTATCTTGTTGCCTTGGTGATGATCATGGATGTGAGTGGAGGTTGGATAAAATCTGAAGCCCTGTGGTGTAGTTGAAGAAGTGATCCCTACTAGGCAAGGGGCAGGCAGTGAATGAGGAGGTTCTCCATGTGTGGATGAACTCATTTGCTTCAGTGGCTGCTTCACAGCTCAACAGGAGGATTCTCACTTCTTTTCAGATAGCATAGTACTAATACTGCATCAATGATACTTGAAAGTATTTTGAAGCCATATCTTTATGACTATCACAGTACTAAGCAAGAGAAAGATTCTTATGAAATGATGAATAAGTAAAAACCTGAATTTTGGGATTAGAAAAAATGAGTTGGTATCTGGATTCAAATAAATGTTTGTTTCTGAGTTTGTGTGTGCACGCATGACCTTGTAAAAGGTAAAATGATATGTACATTCTTCTGTGCCAAGCATTTGAGATATATATATATATATATATATATATCATATACATATATATGTATATATATATATGATATATATATATATATAATATATATATATATATATATATATATATATATATATGATTATAGGATAACTATCATGCTTTGAACATCATTGGAAAAATGTCTACATAGGACCTAATTTTGAAGTGTTTAAAACCTCAGTGATTAGGAAGTCCTGCATACCAGTTTAGAATCTAATTATATGCTATATGTGTTAGTATTTTGTAAGGTTACTTGCCCATGACTTAAGTAGTCTGACTAAAATATGTAGTTAAGGGAAAAATAGCAAATCAATGCAAATAAATGAATCTTTATTTGCATTTGAGTACCTGAGATTTCAGCATTTCCTTCAGCATCAACTACAAAAAGCAACTGTGTGTAAGAGCACAATATCAGGATGATGCTTAGCTGTGCTGTCTGGGAAATCACAAGATTTTCATGAAGAAAGCTGTGAACCAACTCATGAGCAAATCTTGATGTTTGCTGGTTTGACCTTGAAGATGGGAGTTTTATCATGAATTAATTATACATAGCCTTTTAGATGGATGCATTAGCAAATCTTCAGTGATTTTAGTCATTGGAGTTTTTCTAACAGACAATGGTTGGTGTTGAACAGAGCATGTTTTCAATTATCTTAAGTGTGGAATTCATAATGGGAAATTTCGGAAATGGATTCATAGCACTGGTGAACTGCGTGGACTGGGTCAAAAGAAGAAAGATCTCTTCAGTTGATCAAATCCTCACTGCTTTGGCACTCTCCAGAATTGGTATGGTTTGGATTTTTTTCCTAGATTGGTGGGTACCTGTGCTGTATTCAAATTTATGGGCAACTGTAATGATTATCAGAATCATTTATTCTACCTATACAGTAATCAATCATTTCAGCATCTGGTTTGCTACAAGCCTCAGCATCTTTTACTTTCTCAAGATAGCCACATTTTCTAACTCTGTTTTTCTGTACTTAAGGTGGAGAATTAAAATAGTTATTTCAGTGACACTGATGGTGTCTCTAGTTGTCTTGCTTTTAAACATTATGGTTATAAATCTATACATTGATATCTGTGTTGATGAATACAGAGGAAACCTGACTGACAGCTCCGGTCTGAGTAGAGATGTACATTTTTTCATACTTTTATCATTCACCATTACTGTGTTCACATTCATACCCTTCACCGTGTCCCTGATCACTTTTCTCCTGCTAATCTTCTCTCTGTGGAAACATCTGAAGAGGATGCAGCACAGTGCTAAAGGGTCCAAAGACACCAGCACCACGGCCCACGTGAAAGCCTTGCAAACTGTGATCGCCTTCCTGCTACTATATGCCATTTTCTTTCTGTCCTTTCTTGTTCAGTTTTTGACCTCTGGGTTCCTGAACAGTAATCTGATTGTGTTTTTGACTAAGGCTGGTGGGGCAGCTTTCCCTACAGGCCACTCATTTGTCCTGATTCTAAGGAATGGGAAGCTGAGACAGGCCTCTCAGTCAGTGCTGTGGTGGCTGAGATGCAAGTCCCAAGATTCTGAGCCATCAGGTCCATAGACCATTTTGGGATCATTTTGCATATTCTAGAAAGAAGTAATTTAACACAAAATTCTTGTAAGTTTATACTTTCCAAATATTCTTATATGAAATATAGCTTTATGAATTTTATAAAATTATGTTTGAAATATATTATAACCACATATATTGCAACTTTAGCAGTACATATGCAAATTTGTATATTAGCATGTTTATACATGCAAGGATATCAATGCAACTCATTAAAGATAATAAGCTTTATAGTAATAAATAATATGAATTTTCTGTCAGTCATTAACTTTTTAGATTTTAAAATGAGGAATGTAAAATATAGAATATTTATGTATGTATCTTTGTATATGAAACATGATCACTAAAAATAAAACTATAATTATATTCATAAATTAATTCTTTAATTTAGAATAAGTGCCTAAAATAGCAGTTAAGAAATGAAAAATGAAATATAACTATTAGACATCTATACACTAAATCCATTATTTCAAATACAAGACCTAATTTACAAATGTTTTTAAAAATTTCCTCATAATCATGAGGCTGACTTGTTCTGAGTATCCTCTTTTATCAGTTTCAGATTCTTGGAAGGTATTAATCATTATTAGAAATATACAATTTACATTGGAAATCCATGGGAGACTACAATGCATTTTGCAATATATTAAATAATGTTCAATGGTTTTCAAATATGTCTCACAAAACATTTCAATTTTAATGCATAGGACAACTGAATCTTGATTGATAATAGTCTTTTAATGAGTATTACTCTGAAAAATTAGTGCTTATGTTAACTTTATTTCATCATGTACTTGTATTTAACAAACAGGAAAAAGATCAGTTTGTCATAGAAACAGAAAATTAGAAAAACTTACAACCATATCATTACCAAGAATTTTTGTTATTTATATGATATTAATATTGATTAGGTAGCAAATCAAAAGGTGAGCTAATAAAACAGGTAAAAGTTTTATAACAAATTAGGCTGACAGGTAGTTAAAGGACAGGGAAACAATGTTATGTGACCTGTGATCAATGTTGTCAAATCTTTAGTGACAGAATTCTGTATATTTTTTAAGTTGATAAATTCTTTATTCATGATTGGTTTTCCCAAACACATTCCTTCAAATTGTAGGGATTGTATTTGGAAAGGATTTTCTCATTTTCCTATTGTCATTCATTCATATATTAATTGAAAAAAAATCTATGCTGAACAACTATGTGTCTTTTGGAGACATTTTAATGGGAAACATATACTATAAAATACAAAGCGGGCATCTGCAAAAATAGCCACTAAAAAGGGGACATCGCAACTTTTATGTGGCCAATTATCAGTATAATTCATAAATTTGAGGTACTATATTTCCTGAGAAGAAACTGAGGTTCTGAGATATTCATACTCATCTAGTACTGTGTGAATGTATAGCAGAGAGGTAGGATAATAACCCCCTGCAGAACTGCATCCCTGCCCCAAGTTGCTATGAAGCATCCACAGGAGGCTGCTCCCCCATGTCACAAATGTGGTGGAAAAACATGTAAAAGAGTATGCAATTTTGGTGCCTATGTGAAATGTTCTTAATTTTTTCTATGATATTTGCTCCTGGTTAATATGTCCACAAAAGGTAGCATATTGTTTTTCCTTGTTTATTTGTTGAATTGGAAGACAGCTATTCCACTAAGGTGTCACAAGTGCTTTGGTTTAATCTGAATATTATCCTTTGCAGTTACAAGTGTATTATTTGCATGTAATTATTTATAATTATTTACTTCTTCCTTGTAATAATAATATATATATATATTTGCTACATAATGAAAATTCTTGAATATTCAAAATGAATGTTTGTGGTGACAACTGGAATCTCTGCTTGTGAATTTAGAATTTGCTAGTGTCGCACCAGTAAATGTTAGTATTGACTTTACCTTTGATAAAATATTTTTTAAAATCCTCCTACAGAGATCTTTCTCTTCCTTATTGCCTGTGATACTTAAATAAAGCCTGTGTTAAAAGTATCAAATGTTGTACAGTTGTGTGAGTTTTAATAAATTCATGTATATGCCACTAGAAATGGGACGTATGACAGTTGCAATACCCCCAACAATCTCGTATACTTCCCTTTTGTGGTCAAATCCTCCCTGAACCCCAATTCCTACAAATACTCATCTGTTTTCTCTCCCTATAGTCTTGCTTTTCTCAGAAGGTGACATAAATAGATCATAAAGGATGTATCCGAGGTTGCCTTCTTTCACTCAGCATAGGTGTTTGAGATTCATCCATATGGATGTCTAGTACATGAGTGGTAATTCATGTATGTATATACAACAGTTTATTTGCATTCACCCCTGGAAGTATATTTGGTTTGTTTCTAATATAAATGAATAAAGTTGCTATAAACAAAGGGCCAAGTGTTATTTATTTATTTTTAATTTTTTTTGTAATTGTAGATGGACAGAATGCCTTCATTTTATCTGTTCATTTTTATGTGGTGCTAAGAATTGAACCCAGTGCATCACACATACTAGGAAAGTGCTCTGCCACTGAGTCACAACCCTAGCCTCAAGTGTTATTTATTAAGGTGATAATAAATTTCCTTTTCCTCGAATCAACTAAAATACATGTTAATAGTGGTACATGTATCTTTTCCAGTATATGTTCCATAATTATTGAAATATCATATGTGATGTTTTCATACCTGTATATATTATTGTATAATGGCATCATCAGAGGCAAATAAAAATTCAGAAAGTATCTACAAAGTATAGGTCAGTAATCTCAAAAGAGGAAAAACCAAATTTAATCAGGAGCAAAGTCTGAAAAAAAACGATATACCAGAAGCTGACTGATATGTATTTTCAAAGTCCTATGAAACATGATGGTAATCCTAAATATTTAGCTAAAAATATGTCCTAGGTATTAAATTATTTACTATCCTTTCCAAATAAAAATGAGTAGTGCTATTTCCAACATACACTTCTTCACTGAAAATCTTGCTTATGCGTTTGCTTCAAAAAAACCATTATGGACTATATCAATTGCTCCCCGAAAACTCTGTCAATCCATGTATTGAATCTTTAGCCCATTTTCTGACTGAGTTAGATGAAAGGCCTTAGGAATTAAATAAGAAATTAACATCAGATAAATTCATGAGGGGTCCTCAAGCCAGCGAGACTGGTGTCCTTATAAGAGGAGGAGAGATACCAGGAATTTTTATGCATGGAGAAGGCCATGTAAGGACAGGTCCTGTGAGAAGTAACCTGCGTACACATCAGCAAAATTGGCTGCAGCCTTATTTGAGGCCAACTCTGCTGGTGATCTACAACTTCCAAACTCCACAACTGTAAGGAAATAAATTTCTATGTTTAAGCTACTGAACATGTGGTATTTTGTGAGTGGCCAGGCACACTAATACAAAGACAGAAGTTTAAGAGTGATGTTAAGCAAATGAAAAATTAAATTTATGGAGAAAAAAGAATTGTGCCTAAGATGTAACAAAATGATATTTCTCAGTTTAAAACATATGATTGTTAAAAGATTCCATATGTTGTAGGATAAACTGCAATTCAAAATTCCTTCATTTTATTTCACCTAAATTTTGCTTAAATAAAGTTGATTAATAAACAAAAATATCTGCATAACATGTTGGAACAAGTGACATGTAAAAAATCATTTAAAGCTTGGATTGAAATGAGACACTGATATAATTCAGACCTTATTAGAAAGAGAAGTATTATATATACTAACAGTTATGTTATAGAACAATAAAATAATAAATTGTTAAATAGATAGCTGAGAAGTTACAATTCTCATTAGCCCAATACAAAGCAGATGGTGAAAGTTAGAAAATAACAAAATATGATTGACAACAACCATGAAGAAGTCATTCAAAATGAGTCCCAAATTATCAGAAATCACTAAGTGATTTACATTAGATTCTAGAATATGATTCCTCATCAACAGCATGCTATTGTGATTCTTTTGGTTGATCTGTCCACTCTGATAAATTTTCCCTCTTTAATTACAAGAATAAGACTAATTATCAATCATGCTACACAGCAGCTGTGGCCATTCAATGCACCAGGTGGCCACCTTTTCCCCTGCATTCTTCCTAAAATACATTCAGTCTCTAGGAACACATTCCTCTCCTCCAATACAAACCCCAGGTCCTAATGGTCTTGCCTGCTCTTCATTCAGTCGGTATAATATTCCTGACCTACATACCATGGTAGTCCACTGTGAGGACCAGAGTGTGTGAAACACAGTAGGCAGGATGACTTACATTGTAATTTTACATCATGCTCAGTCTCTTCCATATGCTCTTTGGCATAGACATTAAATATTAAGACAGTGTTTTCCTTGTTCAGAAACATGGACTGTGCTGATTCTCATTTCATGAAGTAATGCCTTTTCTCTTATGGTTTCCTTTCTGGACACCACTATGAAAGGCTTGTAAGGAAGATATAAAACTAAAAAAATAGTGAGGTAGACTTTGCAAGAAATCTCAAAAAAGTTTTATAAGTTGAAGATAGTTGGAAATTTTCAAATGTGTTAGTACCTTTGATATGTCATGAGTTTTAACATATTTGACCATAGCTTGAATGTAATATGTAAGACTAAAAGTTAATCTTGGAGAAGTAAAGACTTATTTGTTCTTCATATAAATGCTATAGAGAATAGCATGAGAATTGGTTAAATAATTTTACAAATAGGATTTGCAGTTATTAAATTTCTGAAATATTTCTCTCCAGGGTATCTTGATTGCTGTGTAGTGAGGTCTGAGTTCACACTAAAATAATTGCAATTCTTGGCATATTTGTAAGATATTTTTTTTATGGCATGAATCTAGTGGCAAAACCTAATGTCAGAATTTTACCTTAAAGCCTGATCACATACAATATATTGCTAAGATTCTTCTCCTTTATGGACTAACTCAAGGTTACTAAGCCTTAAATGAAACCTAAAGGCTCTGCACATTCATTTAAACATAGAAGGTATTTTTTTCAGTATGAATTTTCTGATGATGTTAAACATATATCTCACATTAGAAAACATATTTTTTATTTTCTACAAATGTCAAAATTACCTTTAAATGTATCATTGCTCAAAATCTAGGGGAAGGAAGGAGATTCAATAATGTTTTTACTTTAATTTCTACTAAATTAGAATGATGATAATCTAGAACTAAATTTATCTAGAATAAATTTAGTTTATTAAATAGCAGAATAGGTATTGGTACAAATATAGCCATGGGATTATCATTATAGATAAAATGCTCTAAGTAGAAACATAGATAAAATTATAGTTGATTAACACTTGTTTGACTTCTTCCATTTGGTATGGTCAGTATTTAAAACTTGTTGCAAGTGAAAAAATTAAAATGAAATGTACTAACTCCCAAATATACACACATACAATATTGACTCTGAGATGAAGACACTGCTCTACTCTGAGGGACTGACTCGTTATTTTGTTTTGTGGCTGAGATGTGTGGGAAATATCTTTGATGTCATTCTCACCCTGTCTAGGAAAGCCTGTCTTCCCTAGGAGCTGTTATTTAGGTGGAAACCTAAATCTTTCCCATCCAGGGTGAAAGGTACAGAGTTGGGGCTTCATGGAGAGCTGCTCAGGGTGAGTGTAGCCCTCACTGGAACCCAAGTTTTGCCCCCTTTTTAAAAGCCCATGAAGTTCCAGTAGCACCACCCCCTCTAATGAACCCCACCTGTTGAGTTGACTGCATTGCACTTTTTTTCCTATATGCTTTGCTTCCTGGAAGGAGCCAAGCCAGAGGTGACTTTCCTGTCATTTATGTTACTAAGTGCTATATTTATGTTTATGTTATATATTTATGTTACTATTCTTAGGAGTTTTTCATAAAAATCGTCCCATGCTGTCCTATTTTTCCTTCTCCATGTATCTTTTCTCTAAAGGTAGGGCAATTGTGAGAATTTTCCAGATATTGAATTCACTCCTTTTGTTCAGTATTTTTTTCAGGGGACCAAGAGTGGGGGTCAGCCCTATACATTCCATGTTTTTATGTGCAATCTCAGTAGTACACGAAGCATTTTTTCTTCTGATTTCTAAGTAATTTTTCCTGAATTTGTTACAAAAATCCATTACTTTTTCATTAGCTATTGAAGACGATCGATTTTGTCATGCTGCTACTCCCCATTTTGAACAGGCAATGCATTATCCTTCATTATCTACCTGGGTGTCTGTAGTGATGTTCATCGAGCAGATGTTGGTAGAAGGTGAGGGAAAGTGGATAAAATCTGGAGGTCTCTGGTGTTGATGGAGGAATAGACCCTGCTGGGTCAAAGAAAGGCAGAGCATGAACAGGATTCTCTGTGTGTAGATGAAATCATTACCTCAGTGTCTGCTTCATAGGACAGCAGAAAGATTTCCACTTGTTTTCACATCCACTGGTGAAATAGTTCAAGTTTACTGAACATTTACACTTAATACTCTGATATACACTCAAAAGCATTTTTTAAACAATGTGTTAACAACTATCACAGTTCTAAGCATGAGGTAAATGCATAATAAATTTTGATTAAGTGAATAATCAGAATTATTGAGATAGGAAAAAGGGAATTGTGATCCAAATAAATATGTGTTTTAGGGTGAGTGTGTTTGTGTCTGTGTATGTAGGTGTGCTTTTGTAAAAAGTAAAGGAGAAGCCTGTAATCCCAGTGACTCTGGAGGTTGAGATAGGAAGATCCCAGGTGCAAAACCAGACTCAGGCAAAGTGAGGTGCTAAGCAACTCAGTGAGACCTGTCTCTAAATAAAATACAAAACAGGGCTGGGGATGTGGCTCAGTGGCTGAGTGCCCTTGAGTTCAATCCCAGGTACCAAAAAAAATTTAAATGACAAATAAGTATTATTAGTATTAAACTTTTTTTTTTGGTGCCAGGGATTGAACCCAAGAGTGCTTTACTACTAAGCAACATCCCCAGCCCTTTTTAATTTTAGACAGAATAACACTAGATTTGTTATAGCCTTGCTAAATTTCTGAATTTGGCTTTAAACCTCAGCCTCAGTCTTCTGAGCTGCTGGGATTACAGGTGTGTGCCACCATGCTCAGCCTTAGTACTGAACTTTTAAGAAATAATGCACAATTAGGATATAACTTAGAGTCCATAGGAAGAGCTTTGAATAGCATATGTATAGGTCATTATTTAGACCTAATTTTGAAGTGTTTATAAAACCTCAGTGCTTAGGAAATGCCATAAACCAGATTGGATTCTTGCTATCTGGTATATATGTATTTTGTAATGATTCTTGCCAGAACACAAATAGCCAGATTAAATTCTTTGGATAAAGCAAAACAATGCAAACAAGTGTTTATTTGCATGTTAGCAAATGAGAATTCAGTGTTTTCTTCATCATCTGCAAAATCTTCCATGTGCAAACTTACACAGTATCTAGATGAAGCTCAGTCGGGCTACTGGACAATTCAGGATTTTCATGAAGAAAGCTCTGAACTGAGCCATTAATAAATATTGGTGTTTGCTGGTTTGGCATATAGGTGAGTTAACATGGACAATATCATTACTCTTTTGAGAGTCAGATATACATAACATTTTTGATGAATGCAGGAAGAAATCTTCAGCAGTAATATTAGAAGTTGGGACATTCTCTTACAATGGGTTCTGTCATACAGAGTATGCTTACAGTCATTTTAAGTGTGGAATTAATAATTGGAAATTTAGGAAATGGATTCATAGCAGTGGTGAACTGCATGGACTGGATCAGGAGAAGAAAGATCTCTTCAGTTGAGCAAATCCTCATTGCTCTGGCAATTTCGAGAATTGGTGTGCTCTGGTTTGCATTGCTAAGTTGGTGGATATTTGTGCTTTACCCAGCTTTATCAGTGCCTGGGAAAATATTTAGGATGGTTTATATATTCTTGAGAGTATGCAATCATTTTGGTGCCTGGTTTGCTACATGCCTAGGTATCTTTTACTTTTTGAAGATAGCCAATTTTTCTAACTCTGTTTTTCTTTACCTAAAGTGGAGAGTTAAAAAGGTAGTTTCAGTAACATTGCTGGTGTCCCTGGTCCTCTTGCTTATAAATTTGGCACTGATGAACACATATATTGATGTCTGGATTGATGGATCTAAAAGAAACACGTCTTATAACTCCAGTTCAAGGAATTATGTATCATTTTACAAAGTTGTTTTATTCACCAATTCTATGTTCATGTTTGTACCCTTCTCTGTGTCCCTGGCAACATTTATTCTGCTAATCATCTCCTTGAGGAAACATCTGAAGAAGATGCAGCACAATGCCAAAGGGTCCAGAGATGCCAGTACCACAGCCCACGTGAAAGCCTTGCAATCTGTGATCGCCTTCCTGCTACTGTATGCCACTTTCTTTCTTTCATTTCTTCTACAAGTTTGGACTACTGAATTGATGGAGAAAAGTTCAATCATCTTGTTTTTCTGGGCAACTAAAATTTCTTTTCCTGTAGGCCACTCCTATATTCTGATTCTTGGCAATTGTAAACTGAGACAGGCCTTTCTTTCAGTGCTGTGTTGGCTGAGGTGCAGGTCCAAAGATGTCAGACCTGAATCAGGTCCATAGGCCATTTTGGGATCATCTTGCATGTTCCACAGGAAAATCAGCTCACAAGACATTTTTGTATATTATAAATTGATACTTCGTCAATGTTACTTTTTTTTTGGTTTTCATCTTTGTGAATTTTACACAATTAAATTTTGAATAAGTACTACCCAAACATTTTACTACATTAGGAGTACATAAACAAGTTTGCATATCAAGCAAGAAGTGAAGAATAAAATACAGATGGCTGGAAACCAAATAGGCTTAATTCATCCTTTAAAGTATAAGATCCAATTTGTGAATTAAATAAAAAATTCCTCAAAATTTTTGGTCTGTCTTAACCCTCATTTCCTATCTGTTTTATTATTTTTAAATTTAAGAATTCTTTGTACATTTTATCATTATTAAGAATGTAAAATTCTCATTTTGAAGTACATTGTATTCTTCCAAATAGTTTTAAAGTATGCCCCACAGTCCATTTTTTAAAAATATTTTTAGTTGTAGACGAACACAAAATCTTTGTTTTGTTTATAAAGTTGTTTTTTTTTTTTTTTAATGTTGCCCTGGGGATTGAACCCAGTGCCTCACACGTGCTAGGCAAGTGCTCACCACTGAACCACAACCCCAGCCCCATTTTTATTTTAGTGCAATAGAGTAGCAAATCACAACCATGATGGTCTTTTAATGGACATTATTGTTTATGTTATACTTTATGCTATTATGTACCTATTATGTTATTATGTTCCACTTAGGTGGAAACCAATAATATTTTCATAGGAACAGAAATTTAGCACCTGGATAATGTGTACACACAAAAGTAGAGCTTTTTTTTTGGTTTGTTTGTTTGTTTGCTTATCAAAGTCAGCTGCCTTACTGAGCTGTCATATGTGCTTTGTGTTTTAAGCTCATTCTCTTGTCTTTTGCAGATAGAAAAATCACATGATCTGCATATAATTATTTATAATGATAATTTTAATTCTTCCTTCTAGTTATTTGTCATTTGTATGTGTGTTTGTTATATAATGAAATGGTTTCAACATTTAAAACATTAAGTAATTGTTATGGCTGGCACATTTCTTTGTAAATGGACAATTTCCTACTGTTTTGCCAGTAAGCATAATCCTTTTACTCTGAATTAATATTTTTTTCCTTGTCTTCAGAAAGAATCATTCTCTTTTTATCTTTTTTGATATAACCTGTGTTAAGAGGTGCTAAATTGGCTGTGTTAATTATGAAGATGATTATGTTTCTTTTTTCTGTGACCAATTAAAATAATGATGAATGTTAATCGTTGTGTCAAAACAATGGTTAACTTCATAGTGTGTGTTATGCTTCTGAAACATCACATAAATGTTCACTTTTGCATGCATTGTAAGTGATTTTTAACCATCAGAGTTAAATTGAATTTCAGAAATTATCTACAAAGTAATGACAGATAATATCCCAAGGGGGAAGTAACTTATTTGAATTACATGAGAAATCTTTCCAAAAAATCATATGCTAAAAGACAATTGATTCATATTTCACAGTACTGAGGAGTGCAACTATAATTGCAAATCCTGGCATAAAGTCTGTCCTAAGAGATTTAAGTAATTAATATTATTTCATATAAAAAGTCTGGGACTATTTTCTACACATACCTCATTATAAATGCTACAAATGGACATACAAGAAACAGATGTTTATGGACTGATTTATTAGGCTCTAAAATCCAAATGTTGAAACCCAGATCCCCAATTTGCCTATGTTTGGAGATAGGGAATTTATAGATATCATTAAAGTTAAATGAGGTCATTAATGAGGGTGAGGCCCTAATCCAATAAGGCTGGTGCCCTTATGAGAAGAGGGGAGATATCAGGAGTCCCTGTGCACAGAGGAAGACCAGTGAGGTCACAGAAGAGAGGTCACAGAATAAAGGTCACTGTGAGAAGGTGGCTTGCCTTAAGCTAGCAAAAGAGGCCTCACCAGAATTTAGCCCTGCTGGCCCCTTGATCTTGGACTTCCAGGCTTCAGACCTATGTGGAAATAAATTTCCATTGTTTAAGCAGACTTCTGCAGTATATTGTCATGGAAACATAGGCAAAGTAATTCAAGGAAAAAAATTTAAGAAGGAAGGTGAGATGTTCAGGAATGAAATGTCAAGTATGTTGAAAAATAAGCAGTGAGTTTGTATATGTTATGATAAAGTTGAAATTTTTTGTTTAAAGCAAGTTATTGTTAAGATTCTACATGAAATGAACTGCACATTCAAGCCTATTCAATTTTATTCTGCATAAATTCTTCCCTAATAAAGTTCTTTATTAAAGTATTTACATTTACATATTGGAAGGTGTGACTAGCACCAGGGGATTTAAAAGCAGGTCAAGTCCTCTACTTGGATTGAAAGGAAGCAGTGATGTAATTCAGACATTATAAGAAAAAGTTTTACCAATATTAACATCTGTGTATTACCTAATAAAAAGTAAAAAAATTGAAAGTAAACTGCTAAATATATAGTTCTGAAAAAAGAATAATAGCAATTCTGTCTAAGACAAAACAGAAAAAGAAAATTAGTGAAGAAAAGAGAAACCATGGCTAGTCAGAGTCCAAGTTATCAGGAATTCATTAAGGAATTACTTTAGTTACTAAAAAAGTAGAGATACTCAGATTTTAGATCAGCACATATTTATTATACATACTTATATACAATATTATATATCATATATTTTAAGTAACATATTCATATATTCTATAATATAAATTTTATATATATTTTATTTCAGGTATTATGTATTGTATATAAGAATAATCCCTAAAAGAAATAGATAAAAAGTGGTTGAAATATGTGAATAAAGATATGGGAATGTAAATATTAAGGGCTGCTAGATGTTCCCAGTATGCTTTCTTCTCTTCTTGGTTATCGATAGAACCCCAATCTTAGGGCATGGATGTTGTTTTCCAAGCTACCAAGATTTAGATACCTTTGTTAGATGAGAGATAAATAAGCTTTATCTAACTAAAGCACAAACTTTTTTCTAATTCATTCAACTTTGTAACATGAAGCTGAAATTTGTACTAATGTGCCAACCAAATGAAAGCTGGTGGAGAAATACAAATATCAAATGAAATACTTATTATGGTGAAATGTATCAATGGAAAATAATCAAAATGTTAGCACAAGAAATCTGACTCTCAAACTTCATATTCTTTATGTATGGGCAACCTTTGCTGTTTGTAGGATTGGTTCGCCAGCTGGCCTCTTTGTTCACAACAAAATATATGGATACATAATTTCCTTATGTAAAATGATGTAGTAATTGGATGAACTATACTTTAAATCACTTCTAAATTACTTATAGTAATTAATATTTTAATGCTACATACGTAACTGTTGTACTTTACTATTTAAGAAAACATGAAAAAATTCAGTACGAACAAAATTCTCTTTCCAATTATTTTCAAATTCTTGTTGGTTGAATTTACAGATTTTGGATCTGTGGATATGGATGACTGAGTATAATAATGAAAGAAGAAATTAATCATATAGAAAACTATAACAAAATGTTGATGAGAGAACACTTACATTTTATCATAGGTAAAAGAAAATATTTCTTGGTAAAAATAAATAAACAGAAAAGTTGCAAATATGGATAACATTAGAAATGTAACCATAACCAATAGAAGCATATGTGCATACATTTACATCAAAAAGTGAAAAATCTAATAAATTGGACATTTTTAGTTCTTGGATGGGTAGCACAGGCAAATTCTTCATACCACGCCCCCTGTATGTGTGATGGACCAAAGCACCTTGCCATCAGGAATTTTTTCCAGCAGTACCTCTAATAATTTTACATAGAACACCTCTGCCAAAACCCCTGTCTGTGAGAAACATTCCCTGCACCTAAGTGGATTTTCAGCAAGTTCCAGAGGCTCCATTCAGTGAACCATGGTTTATTTTCTTCAATCAGGTCTTGCTCTTAATGTTGGATTGGTGTGTGTGTGTGTGTGTGTGTATGTGTGTGTGTGTGTGCATTGGGGGTGTCCTTGTTGCTTGCTGTGTGTTAGCTCTAGGGATAATGGCTATTATTTATATCCATAATTTTTATATTCTGTAGAACTATCTTTACTTCTTTCTATCCAATCCCTCATTATCTTCCCACCCCATGATAGTTAAACTATATAAAGCATTTCTTGGTCAACTTTTGGTGTGGGTTTCTCTCCTTCTTGAATACAAACAATTAATGTATGTTGAAATATTCTATGATCAATTTTTCACTTAACCAATATATAAAGAAAGAAAGCATAATATCCTAATAAAGGATAATAATCTACTTCTGTAAACAAATACAGAAGCATACTTTAAATGAAAAATGGAGTCTTTTACACTGCTGCCTGGATTAGTAGATGCTTTGTAGAAGAGTTATTAGCCAATGAAATGAGAAAGACAAAAAACAAACTCATGAAAATTTGAATGCAAATTATAAGACAGATTTATTTTCCAACATGTAGTGTTATATCTATGGATAATTCAATGTAATCTATGAGGAAATAAGTGGTAATCTTATCAGGTAGAATAAGTGAGTTTAGGAAAATTATCAAATATAATACTAAGGTATAACTATTCACCAGTAGAATATAATTAGAATATAACTTGAAACTGGACTGTTTCTTGTTAGCAACAAAAACTAGAAGGCGCTTGGAAAAAAGCCTCACATGCCATATTTTATTGAGATATTTAGTAAATTATATTAAAGCAGAAAGACTGTTTTTGAGCAGAAAGAATTTCATAAGATTCTTATTGTGTCTAAATCCTTATGCATAATACAATTCCAATGAAAATCACAGTGGATTTCAGGAATGTCTATACAATTCCCCAATATTTGAATTAAACAGTTAACAATTAAATATTAGAGTCAGGAGTAAGGCTTTGTAAAAGATCTCAGTATGAGAGGCATGCTTGAGGATTATTATGTGTTAAGAAACCCGAGTATAAAAGAAGGGTATTTAAATCTCTTCAAGTTCTCCGAGATTCATTTTTT